CAGTAAGAGCTGGCAATGGTCAGCGCCTGGGGACTCTTGTCTTTTTTTTTTGCCTCCCCCACAGGTCTGGACATAGAGTTCACGGGCCTTCGTTCTAACCTGTCCCACCCCGAGCAGATCAGGTAACGCTAAAGCTGCTGTAGAGCTGAGGTAGAGGCGCTCACCTGTGCCCCTCTGGGTGACATCCTGGTCAGCCAGCAGTGCTTCTCAGCAGGCCTTCCGTTGGCACTGGGTGGGCAGGACGTTTTGTGTGGGAGCCTGGGGACCTGGCTTCTGTCCGCTAAATGCTGATACTGTCCTCCAGTCGTGACAAAAATGTTTGAGAGGTTCTGGGCACCTCGGTGCTGTCTCCTTGTCTGTGCAATGAGATGCCTGTTTTTTCACAGTCTTTTTGACTTGCCGTCGGAGTGGTATCTGAAGACTCGTCAGAGCGTTCAGCAGTTTACAATCTGTCAGATTGGTGAGTTTCACCTTCAGCTGTTTGTCATGAGTTATTGAGAGAGATTTTTATTGTTTGTGTGTTTCCTGCTGGTCACACCGCTTTGACACCTTTCGAAGAACCTGGCTATCATTTTGCGAGCTTGTTAGGTTTTTGTCTGTGTTGTGCTTGTGGGAACTAATCCTTTGGAACAAGCAGGAACTTAATCGAGCAGCATAATTTCCATGCCTAACGAAAGCAATATTAAGGAACCTATACCGTCTTTCAAGGAAAAATGTGCACGTATGATTTTTGTTTAGAGAAAACTTATATAAAAAAGATCATACCACACACATTTTGTTCTGCATCTTGTTTATTTCACTAATGGAGTTTAGAGATCTTTGTATCAGCACATAGAGACCTTTTGTTCACTTTTAACTATTGTATAGTATTCCAAACTGTGAATGCATCTGTTGGCTTGGTCTTATCATGATATGTGCTTTGGTTACCATTGGTGTGTAATAAAACAAGGTTGCATAGACTGTCTTTTATACATTATTGTAGTTTCGTGGGTGTGTGTTTGGGAGAAGTGCACGTCCACTTCTAGTTGTGGCATTGCAGAGTTAGAGAATGTGCGTTTAAGTATTGCTGGGCGTTGCCAAACTCTTTGCGTACCAGCCATTCCCAGTTCACAGTGACTCGCTACAGTAGTGACTATGCCTCTTTCCTTCCCTCACACTGGCTATTATCAGTCTGAATTTTTTTTTCCCACCTTGTAGAGGAAAAACGATCTAATTGTTATTTACATTTTTAATACAGGGTCAACACACTTTTCCTGAGAAGGGCTGGACAGTAAATATTTTAGGTTTTGTAGGCCACATGATCTGTTACCACCACTCAACCCTGCCATCGTTGGTGGGAAACCGGCCATAGGTAGTACGTAAACGAATGAGCGCGGCCGCATCCCAGGAAGACTTTATAAAAGCGGGCGTGAGCCAGGTTTCGCTGTCCCTTGCTTTTTCTATGAATGGCGGTGAACATCTGGATGTGTGTTTTGCCCTCTGCACTTGCTCTTTGTTATTTCTGTTGCGGTGGTTCTTCTCGATTGTAAGACCTCTTTCAAGAGTGTGAAAAACAGCACTTAGGTACGTTTCTCTTCTCCCCCCCTTGGAAGTCTTTCACTTTGTGCGTGGTCTTTTTTAACAACGCAGACGTTTTAAGGCCATTGAATGTATACATCTGCATGGTTTTTGGTGTTTCTGCTGTTGAGTTTTAAAACTATAAAAATGTCAATTTAATTTTACTTCTGCGTTTGAAGAACCAGCCACAATTATATTTTAGTTATTTTAGTGTGAATTACAGTTTGACAGTTCTCATGTTTCAAATCTGTCCCTGCTCCTCCCCTTCCCCTCCCCCAAGAGGTTATCATCTTCTGAAGCCCACCCAGTATCTTTGGATGCAAAGTACCATTCAGAATGTTTTCTTTTAGTAGTTAACTTCCGGCAGCTCTGCTTTGTACTCATCACCTCTCATTCTCCTAGGATTGTCTGTGTTTTCCAGTATTGAAGGAGAGTCAAACAAGTACGTACAAAGACCTTTTGCAAAGCACATGGCTCTTGCCCCTTTATCTTCTCCACCTGCTCCCCCCGAAATTCTGCTTCCGGCTCAGAACCGCTTTGGCCCTGGGCGCTCCATAGTCTCTCCTGCTTCTGGGCCCGTCACTCACGCTCTCCCCTGCAGACTCCAGCTCGTCCATCCAGTCTCAAAGCAGCACCTTTCCTGGGGGCCTTTCCTGACACCCCGCCTTGCACCTTGGGCACTCTGTGCCCCGCTTCCCTGGTGTCCTGTGTGGGCCTTCAGGACAGCCGTGAACAGTGCCACACGGAGGGCGGTGTAGCGGCCAGGCAGCGACAGGGAGGCGGTGGGGTGGCAGCCCAGCTGGGCTCAGGACGGGAGGAGACTGTCTGTCCTTCGAGGGCAGGATCTCTGCCTTTTTTCGTTGGCCCCCAGGGCCAGTCCCAGTGCTGGAGACAGCCGGCATTCAAATACTTCTCAAGTGAAAGGAAGAAACCCCCTCGGAAGCTTGCTCTCTGAGCCCGAGTTTTAACAATGGTTTTGGCTTTTTCTCCAGTGTGTGTGTGTTTATTTTTTTATAGGTACGTAGCCCATTCATGTAACTTCTTTCTCTTCCCTACAACGTTTGGGATTTTGGATTCGGAATTCTCTTTCCAGGCTTCTAGTGTTCAGTTCTTGAATCAGTATGGCTTCGACTATAACAAGGTATGGCACTGGAGGAGGGGAGTGGGAAGGTTTAAAGGTTTAGCTAGTCCGACTGGCTCCCGAGTTGTTTTCCTTCCCCTTGAATGTCCACACACAACCCAGCCGGGAAGGGTTCTTTTCACTCTGCTCCCTGGCAGAGAGGACGACACGACCTGATGCCTCGTTCTTTTCCTGTCTTCAGTTTCTTAAAAACGGGATCCCATACATGAATGAAGAACAGGAGAAGAAAATTAAACAGAACATCCTAACTGGGAACTGGAAGGTTCGCAGGTAAAGCTCATTGCTCCGGTGCCCTGTGGG